GACTAGTAAATATTGGTAGTTGTGAAACCCCTAACACACACACACACACACACACACACACACACACACACACACACACACACACACACACACACACACACACACACACACACACACACACACACACACACACACCTCTCTTAAAGGGATAGCAATCTGACTCGGCATGACCCTAATATCATAACACTTGTCATTTGACCTTGAATGCCATTGCTTTCATTTATTTGATCTATTGTTCTCATTGTTCAAAAGTTTGTATTATGACTGAAACCTTTTTCAAGGTTTGAAATAAAGCACAATAATGACATTTAAGACGGTTTCCCCTTTTTTAAGAAAAGTGGCATCGGAACAAAAATGTTGGTATTGTGACAACACTACATAGTGTTGTACTTGGTATCACCAATATTATTGGTGATACTAATATTGGGGCATTGCAGATCTATTTCAAACAGGACTCTTACCTGCGTTGTTGTTAAAGCTGAGGTCCAGGCCATCATAGATATCCACGGAGTCTTCTTTGTCATCATGTACAAAGACTGGGGATATGAACATGCATTCATGTATGTCATCAGTTATGTTCATCTGGTGTTAACATCAAGGATTTAATATATCAAATATTGTTTTAATACCAATTGCAGAGAAACCCCTTTCTGGGGTAACTTGTAAGTAATATATATTATTTATATTAAGTATAACTTCTAGGATTACTTATATTACACAAATACAATATGAAATTAATGTTAATGCAACTTTGCGTGAATGTATTGTTTTTAACTTACGGCCAGGGGCATCATGGATGTCAAAGTCATCCATTCTTCCAGGTATCACTTTGTCTCTATTCCTTAAGCAATTCCTGAAAAAGAGAATTACAAAGTTGTTATCAGTCTATACATATGAGCCAGAACACACTAAACACAGGCTGAAGATGATCCTGTAGCAAATGGCTAATGAACACTGAAGGCAGAGGCGAGACAACAATTCAACTAGAACTGATTTAAATCTTAATTCATTCTAGAGTAGACACCAATGTTACACTAAGGCTAAATTCAGCATGTAAATTGTTCAGTGGCTCTGACAAAACTTTGAAAAGGTGCCAGGATTCTCTCATCTTGCACATTGACAGTTGTGGAGGTTGCTATAGTAGAAACATAGGCTATTGGTTCTATAATGGCAAATAGACTCTCCTTTATAGTCTTTCAACCAGTCAAAAAACGTTTAAACCACATGCCAACCATTACTCATACCCAGATACATTTACTGATGGCGGGGCTGGGGGTGTCAAACTCCCTTTTCTATTCTGCTCATTCACACACACTCACACAGCAATGGCTGTTAACACCATACACCTTCAGGAGTTACTGCAGCTCCAATGGAAAATACAAACTAGCATAACTAGCAGGGTAAAACATATTATTTTTACCCTGCTAGTTTTTATTATCTCTGGTTTGGAAATATTATGTAACTGCAGGCAAAGTAAATAAGGAAAACTGCTTAATGGCTATATTTGATTTGTCAAAAGTATTAGCATCAAATATACTTAGAGTACTGAAAGTAAAAATACTTATTGTGTGTCATTTCCAATTTCAGAATCATATATATTAAAACAATGGATTATGTTTATTGATGCATTTAAGTGTCAATCACAGCTTGTTACTACTTATATTTCTTTACATACTGCTACTGGATATCTTCACCTATAATATAATATTATCATAGTTAATGTATTACTTTATGTATATGTTGTATTAGCTTATAATGTGAATATAAAAAGTAACTAGTAACATTTATGTTGGCTAAAATGTAATGGAGTAGAAGTAAAAAGTAGCATAACATACCCAAAATCTGACAGTAAATATACTTCAATACGTTACACCACTGTATATGTAGCCCACTCTTACATAAAATATTCACTGAAAAATGCACTAAAGTATGAGGTGAACATACTTTAGGCATTATATGTAGTGGACACAAGGAGGCTGTGAGCCATTGTGCTGTTAGCATGGTTTAAATAAAGGTTAGCTAGAGCTCTTTTGTTCACAACGTTACTGTCCAGACAAAGGAGACTTATACAAACGAAAATATTTTACATAAAACAGCTAGGCAGAGAGAAAGGTAGTAGCTAACACTCCTTCCTGTCTGGAGTTTGCTTTATCTGTAACTGTCTGTCCATCGCTTTAATCGGTCGTTGACACTGTGAGCTAAAGCTAGCATTGATGTAAATATCTTTCTGTTTCAAACTCAATAGGAAATGTACACTTGATTTAGGTTATGCAACACATTTTTCAGGTTACTGATGTTTGTGGTCAACTTTGGATAAGTTAAACCACTGCACTAACTTTACTGCTACCATGCATTTTGTAGGACTAAAAGTACCGTTCGTGGAGAAAGTGCTCAGAAGTTAGGGATGCTAATGTAGCAATATGCACCGGACATTTATTATTAAAAACAAAGTAACAATTAGCAAGCAGTGGATGGGTGTACTTACTCGTTGTGCTATTGTTATGTGTCCTCCTGTTGTTTACAACTGTAATGTCGCGCCAAGTCTTCATTGCACAGGAAGTAACGACAATTTCCCGCGGTCTGTCAGAGCCGGGGGAGTGTTTTTCAGGTACATCGGATTCAGATATATTCTTCAAATCGAAGTCAAATCCTAAAGGAGGATGATTGTACAGCGACTCCTCAGAGGCTCAGAGTCCCACACACCCTGCAGACATAAAGCGAGGTATTAGAAAGCGGTAGATTTCACAGTTCGCTCGAGAGAAAGTCGCTCCACCCGCGGAGAGGATTGCATTCAGTTGCACCGAACTGGAGTCGCTTTCCGGCGCGTCATCACAGCGCGTCATCACAGCAGGAGGGAATCCATCCGAATCCACCTCTTAAAGGGGCCCTATTCTGCTTTTTGGGGATTCCCTTTCCTGTAGTGTGTTCGATAGGTTTTTGTGAATGTAAATTGTCTGCAAAGGCTAAGATCCCTGTGTTCCTGCCTAAAACGCCTCCATTAGACTCCTTTGTTTACTTCAGTGACATAGTGACATCACTGTGTAACATTTGCACTTCTATTGGCTCGGCTTCAAGACATCGGACCTTTCCCATTTATCTAATTTCCGACTCCTCAGAGGCTTCTCAATTCTTAAATGTCCCCTCCTCGACTCCTCGGCTGCGTTTCATTTCTCTAATTTTCATTTCCTCGCTCCTCTGTCTCGGTCTCACCGGAAGTTGATTTGTCTGCGCCATCTTGAGTAGCGTCCCAATGGCCTTATTTTTTGCCGGAGGAGCGAGGAGCGATAATGGAGGAGCTATAATCGAGGAACCACCAGACCATCCTTCGATGAAATCCTCAGACACTCGCCCCGCCCCCTTACTGTGTATCGCTCACTGATTGGACGATGCAGTGCATGCACTGATCTGATGCTTCTTGACGTTCTTGACATGAGAGCAGTTTCCCAGCGGAGTGAAGAAAATACATGAACCTCACGGGAGTCACTCCTCAGTTTATACCGTGTTTTGTTTCAATTAATGTATCATTTAGTTACAAATATATGATATATCTGAACAACAAAGTGGTCAAAAATTATTTTATTCATTTATTGGAAACATTTTCATGATCGCTTTTTTTGTTTTACATTTTCATTTATTGTCATTTCCATTCAGTCAGTCATTAAGTGCTATTTAAAATGTTAATTTGCTACATATCCAAACAAACAAGCAAAGTGTGCAATGCAATGAATGTTAATCTAACTGGGTTTTGATAGATAACATATCTCTTTTTCTTCTCTGAATTATTTTATTTATTTTGTGCACTCTAATCAATATTAATCCAACTAATGTTCGTTTATACATTTTAAGAATGGCGTTTATCTTTTTTGAGAATGAGTTCTTATTTGATTTTATTTATTTGGGTGACAGATGATACAAATGTTTGTGTCAGTAAATGTGTAGGCAGGGGTGTTTGTGAAAATAACGGGGACAGAGCTGCTGTCAGACGATCAGCTGTGCGGCGTCATCACAAACGGACGTCGCTTCACTTGAGTTCCGGAGGAAAGGACGTCCCATTGCTCTTAAAACTAATTTCCCTGCTTCTCGTGGTTTCCTTGCGTCTCTCCATGTTTCCCTGGTGGGAGGG